AATATAATCTGGTTTAACCCACCATACAATAAAAAGGTTCTCACAAATATAGGCAAAACCTTCTTACAATTAATTGACAAACACTTTCCAAAACCAAATCCGCTTCATAAACTATTTAACCGTAACACAACAAAAGTCAGCTACAGCTGAACAAGTAACATAGCAAAAATTATAAAGAACCACAACAATAAAATTATTTTGATGAACCCAACGGCCACTTTAGCTTGCAATTGTAAACTAAGCAAAATCTGCCCTATGAATGGAAATTGCAGAAAAACAAATGTAATTTATAAGTGCATTGCATCATTCCCAAACACATCCGACAAAACATACATTGGTTCAACAGAGGGCATGTGGAAAACTAGATGGGCGAATCACAAGCAATCCTTCAAAAATAAAAAACTCACAAATGCAACCACGCTTTCTAAATATATATGGGATACACAAAATAAAACAAAAACAACACCCAATTTAAAATGGTCCATCATAAAATATGCCTCCGCGTACAACAACATAACCAAAAAATGCTTGTTATGCTTATACAAAAAACTAATTATTTTATTGTATAAAAATCCTCAAGAATTATTAAACAAAAAAAAAACGAACTAATATCTAAATGTCGCCATGAGAACAAGTTTTAGCTGGACAACCACAAATCAAAAGATTAGATTTTTTAACTCAATATCTTTTGTACAGATTTATTATTTATTATTTTTACGAGGAAAAAAACATATTTACACCAGATGATTGCATTTAGCATGAAACTAATAGTTGTGAAAAATATGGAGTTTTATTTATAAATAATTACAAACGAGCCTTTAAAATAACTTTTTAAAAGTGTTTCGTTATAAATGCACTTTAGAAAGCTCTTAAAAAATTTTTTTTTAATACTTAAGCCAGACAGTTGTCTGTCTTATCATAAAATTTATTTAATTTATTTTTTAAAGAATTCAAAGAATTTTTCAAAAATTTTGCTTTAGAGTTGGAGTCGGAGTTGTACTCAAAAAATATCAACAACTGGAGTCGGAGTCGTTACTTTTTTTTTACGACTCCACACCCCTGGTTTAAACTAACAACTGTTTGCAACATTATAAACCATTGTTTAGTAAAAATATTTTAAATTGACAAAAATACGCAAATTTATTCATTCAAAGTTTTTCAAACTCAAAGTTTATTTCAAATTGAAAAAAACATGTTAATTAGATTAAAGTATCATTCATTTAAAGTTGTAAAAAATGTTTTTTCTCTTGCGTTCTACGCAATAAAAAAAGCTTTTCTAATTTTAATGATCAAACTTTTTTGGTTTTGGTACCAAAAATAAATGATAATCTTTTTAAAAAATATATTGATATATTGGGAACTTTTAAGAAAACATTTATTGATTAAAACTTTAACGCAAGATATTTATTAAAAAAACAAACAAAATACTGTTTATTGTTAACTTTCTTTTGTAAACTTTTACTTTATTCTTAGCAAGTGTTTCAGATCCTGATTTCGTTTTCAAAGGAATATTTTTCTATTGCATCTATTTTATGATTGTTTTAATACTTTTTATATAATTTTACTTCTAAAACTTGTTTTCTAATAATTTTAAACGAAAACAATTTAACTTTGCTTAAAGCATTATGATGTTTTATGAAGTCAACATTCTTTCTACCAATCATAAACTCACATTATTTACTTTTTTCTAATTTTTTCACATTAAATTTTATTGTTTCTAAATAATAATGCAAATTAGATTCATTAAAAAAAATTCATTTAATTCAAAATAGTTATTAACAAGTAATAAACTTTTTGTTTATATAAATTTTGTAATACCTTTTAAACAATTGTTTTACTTTTACCGTTTTAAAAAAAAATTAAAAAAAAAAAAATTGCTTTTTATAACTCTTTAATTAGAACTTGATTAAAAAAAAAGACTTGTTGCAATTTAAAAACACGCTTGAAAATTTTCGGCGAGCGCCTAAAAAAGCGTCTTCTGTAGTATTAGCGAGCGTAAAACTGCAAGAGAGCAAAAGCACTCGTCAAACATAGAAGACGGTATATATATATCAAGCCTTCCCAGGAAAGGCGTGCGGTTTTTCGTCTCGCATGTTTATGAAAACATTTTTTAATTTAGAAAACTTTACCATGGTCGATTGCGAAAGTTTTATTATATGCGTTGCTGAAAAAAGTTTTAAATTTAATAACTCAGACTTGGTCGGGAAGCGGACGTGATTGCACTCAATAAGTGACCACGGAAATAATATTTAGTTGCGAAAAACCGGCCAGATATTTTAATCGTTTTGAGAACATTTAAATTTATGTATGTTTCCTTAATTAGGTTCATTATTTTATCGTAATTTTTGAAATAATTTGTTTACGGACATACATGGAAACATATATAAACTCGAATGTCCTCAAACATCTTTGTGCGGAAAAATGAAAAAAACCCAAAAAACCCGCCAAATCTACAAATAACTAATTCTATTGGTTCAAAAAATACTAACCGAAATTTCTAGAGTTATTCTGTTGAAATATTTTTAAAAATTGTATTATTTGAGTTTTGTTATGATTTCGTTGAGATTTCTAGCATAAATTGTTTTAAGAATATACTATTAAACGAACTATTATTTTAAATCTCGGAACCACATCTACAAAGCTATAAATGTTTTAAACTAACATTATTTGTTTACAAAAATAAATGTTTTTAATTTACTAACTTTAATTATTTTTGCTTCAGCCATTCTTACAAGCTCATTATACTTAAACTTAAAGTTAATTTTTCCTGTTTTAAATACTAATTAAAATTATAAAGCCCACTAACTAAACATCATCAGCATTATTGTGAAGCAGTTCCGCTTTCTCCTCACATAGTAATTTAACGTTTTTAGTTAATTTCTATTTAGCTAATTGAATTTCTACAAAAACTCAATGATTTAATTATTTCATTTTATAAGATATTTAACACATTTAAAACAATTTTTCTTAGTATACTAAGAAAAATTGTTTCAAATGTGTTAAACTTTTCAAACTACGCGAAGCATAAAACAGTTATTGAAAAAACTCTTTTATTTATAAATAAATCATCTAGCGTTAGTTTTATTAGTTGAATCTTGTTGGACTTATAAGGGGACTGCATTATTTTGGCGGCCTTTATTATGTGCCACAGCGTAAAAATGACTGAAAAAAATTCTGAGTGGTCCTCTTGACTATTGCGCGGCCCCTAACATTGTGAGACCCAAGGCTATAGCCCTTCTACTCCCCCCCCCCCTCAATCCAGCACTGGAAATAAAACAAGTATATAAATAAAAATTATTTATACACTTTGATAAATCGGAGAACATTTGTTTCCTTATTAAACAATCATTATTAGTAAGTTGTTACTTTATATAAAAAATGTCACTTAATTTTATAAAAAAAATTATAAAAGAGTGACATTTTAAAAATATTTGCTCTAATCGTATTTATTTTGCTTCAAGTTTTTTCACGTTAAAAGCTTTTTTTTTTTTAAACTGTCTCTCATCGGTCCAGTTAATCTAATTGCACTTTTTTGTGTGTTTTTGAAATGTTCTCAAAATGACTAAAAAATCTGGCCGGTTTTTTGCAACTAAATATTATTTCCGTGGTCAATTATCGAGTGCGATCGCACCTGCTTCCCGACCAAGCCTGATAACTACATAAGAAATTAAAGTAAACTTAAATAGAAAACAATAAAAATAGTTTAAATAATTTGTGTGTTGTTTTTATTTTTGTTTTTTCTAAGTGGTTATTATTATCGGCAACAAAATTCAGTAAGCAAAACAAAGAAAGAAAAAAAACAAAACAAACATTTTAAGCATTAAAAAGGATGAATTTCCCATATTTTATGTGTTTTTTCTTTTAAAGAGGAAAGTGAAAATATGTATCCTCATCGGTTTGTAAAATATATTTGTATAATTATAATGTAACAAGTATATATCAAGGTTTAAATTATATGATCGCGATTTGCAAACTCTGGTAAAATATTAGGTCTTCAAAATTTGCCATCGAGAAAGTTACTAAAAACAAAACAAAAACAATAAACTTACGACTAGAAAAGTAATAACACTTTAGTCACTAACTGCATTATAAAAGTAATAAAACTTTAATCGTGTTATTGCATTTATAAAGCACTTATTACTTTCAAAGTTCATTCTTTGTTCAAACAACATTAATTCCGAACATTTATTATTTTGTAATCGTAAGTTTGTTTTATTTTTTATTTTTTCGCTTACAAATTTAAGTTGATTCTTCCCTTAATAATAGATATTTCTCCAGATTTTGCGTTTCTCATTCGCTAAATTCAACCCTTGTTGTTACATTAAAATTATAAAATATATTTTACAAACACATTGCAACTTATATTTTGCTACTCTCTTAAAAAAAAAGTTAAGAAAAGGAAAATCATTCTTTTTATTGTAGACTTCAAACTGTTGTTTTTTTTGCTTCGCCTCATCTAGTTTTGTTGCTGAATGTAACAACCACTTTAAAGAAGCAAAAATAAAAACAGTACACAAATTATTTGAAATATTAATTTGTTTTTATTTTTTTCTATTTCCGTCTCTTTTTAATTTTGTTAGTTTTGTTTTTTTTATTTCTGAAACTTTTTCAGCATTGATTATTATAAAACTTGCAAACGGCCGTGTTCAAGTTGTCTAAAATAAAATACTTGCGTGTGGTCATTTATATATATATATATATATATATATATATATATATATATATATATATATATATATATATATATTAAATATAAATATATATATAAATATAAATATATATATATATATATATATATATATATAAATATACATATGTATATATATATATATGTATATATATATATATATATATATATATATATATATATATATATATATATATATATATATATATATATATATACATATATATATATATATATATATATATATATATATATATATATATATATATATATATATATATATATATATATATATATATATAAAATTATTTACCTTAGTAAAGAAATAGAATCCATGAATGCCTTGCCAAACATATCCACAAGGTCTTTTGCTTTTCGCTTACCATTTTGAACAACATCATTAGCCAAGTAAAATAGGGCAAGCTTTCTTTCAGGTTTAGGTACTAAAATACATCATAATACTAAATTAAGCCATTATTAATGAAAAAGAATCATACATTTTCTTTTATATAACATAATAGAAAGCTAAATCACAAACAGTCAAAACTATACCATAACAGAAAGATGCACACAGACAATATAAGAACAATGCAACCTTCTTTTGTAACAAAGAACAATGCTTAAAATAGGTAAGAAAATAATCAAAACATTTAAAAAATTGGATGAAAAGCATCAAAGTGAATTAGAAGTGAATTAGAAAGTAGAATTAGAAGTGAATTAGAGAAGCAATAAATTACATTTTTTTTTTTGTAACGAAATAACCAATAAAATATATTATATTGAATTTATATTGAATATGAACAAACTATTTGAAATTTGAATGAAATTGAATTAGGATTTAAAGCTTTCGAAGAAAGCTTTAAATCCTAATTCAAAGCTTCAAACCCTAATTCAATTTCATTCTGACTGCATAGATGATATAATGAACTTTTAACAAAATAATAAATAAAAAATAAAAAGTTTTTAAAAATAAACAATGCCCATTTTTGCACCAAACATTTTTATCCACCCAGCACTCCAACCTCCATTTGTTATTAAATCAGCATTAAAGTAACATTTTAAAAACATAAACTAAATTTAGTAAAATTTTTGTATTATTTTTTTTTTATATGAATTTTTTATATTTTATATTTTTGTTAGATTATTAATAAAAATGAGAGTTGCAGAGGAAAATAGATCACTTATTGTTAGACTATGGAAGGAGGGAAAATCATACTGAAATATAGAAGAAATAGTAAAGAAATCACATGCAACTGTGCAATCTATTATCAAGAAACACTAAACCACCAAAAAAACTGCTGATATGTCATTTACAGGACGTCCAAATAAAATTCAAGTATTGCATCGATGAGCTATTTTGAGAACAGTCATCCAGAATCCTAAAATAAGAGCTTTAAATTCCGCTAGAATACTGCAAAATGATTACAATTTAAAAGTGTACCCTGAAACTGTTAGAATAACCTTAAGAAAAGCTGGATACAATGGTAGAGTATCATTGGAAAAGCCCTACATCAGCAAAGATACAAAGCCAACTGATTACACTTTGCAAAACTTTATATTAATAAACCACAAACATTCTGGGAATTAGCCCTTTTCAGCGATGAAAATAATCCATAGGAATGGATTATATTTAAAATAACTAAACAACTTCATATATCCCCACATTCTCCAGATTTGGATCCTATTGAACACCTGTGGGATGAATTAGGTAGAAGAATTAAAACCCACAATGCGAGGAATCGGCAACAACTACATTTAGTAATTATGAAAGAGTAGGGCTCAATCAATTCAAAAATCACCAAAAAAATTAGTTTGTATTATAAAAAACAGACTAAACAAATAAAAGCTTGTGGTGGAAACACAAGTTATTAAAACACTAATAAATTGAGTTTGCATAACAATTTTATTTGATTTTTGTAAATTTAGGACAAAAATGCAAATTCCAAAAAAAACAAAAATCTTTTATTTCAAAATACTGTAATTTATTTGTTACTTATTACTTTAAAAAATTTAATTTAGTTTATATCATGCTTACATATCTTTGCTAATTAAAAAATTATTGCATTTTTAAAATGTGCAAGATAGGAAACTTTTTTGACACAGTATGCTTTTTTTTTTTTTGATTTGGCTAGGAGTAGAATAAGGCTAAATCAGGCTGCACAGCTGTTTGTGAAATAAAACATAGCATTTATTTAGTAAATAAATTAAATTATTTCTTAATATACTACTTACATAATACATTTTTAATACTTGTTTTTTTACCTATAATACACTGCTTTTAAAATTATGGTGAGGCCAAATTAAAAATAAAAGATCTTTTATAATATTTAACTATTGATATTGAAAGTTTGAAGTAAATCTGAAGTTCCCACATTGTTTTTAAGATTATTCTAACACATCAAGTTGCTAAAATAAAGATCTGAAGTATTGTTTAGCATCAGTCACATATGTAAAATTTCGCTATTCATGTTATTTATTCAATTCCAGATGATGTAAAATACTTATTTTTCATTTTATTTTAAAAAACATAACTTTGTGACAATAGATTTTACGGATATACTTAGTTTTCATATTAATCTACACTTTTCTAATACACTCTAAACTTTCTTTTGATATTAATTTTTATTGCATTATAAACATCAAAAGAGATATAGATTAATTTATGTTGAATTCCAAATAAGTTTGGGTCCAACATGCATCACACCCTAAGGTTTGGATAACTTTTAAAATACTTAATAGAGGAGATTTTTATATTTATAAATTATTTTATTGTGAAAATGTTAAAATTATTTACGTTTCAATAATTAACACTAATTTTTTTTATTTCACTAGTACCTTGACTAATAAGATCAGTCCAAACTGAAGTTATTATCTTTGCATGATGCTTGTGATGTAATATCCATAAAGATAATGTTTGTATTCCAGTTTGACTAGGATCTAATGTTTTTAACTTCTTTTCGAAAGATTTAGCGTTAAACGTAGCCATGTTTTCACTTCCATCTGGACTTATTGCGCAAGCGCAAAAAAAATATCTTGTTTTGCTTTCGAAAAAGACTCATGATGGTTGTCCTATATCGTACTAATATTGAACGCGAATATAGGTACGATTTAAAAAAAAAATTTTAAACCGTATGTTCTAATTTTGTTATAAAAGGTAGAAGTTTTTTTTTTGTATATTTATTAAAAATTTGAATAAATTACTAACCATAATAGTGGTTTCTTTATTCTAATAATTATTTAATTGATTAAATGTATGTTCTTTCAACTAGAAAAAAAAAATTTATTACACTACATTTAAATTCGAAAAAATAATGAAATATGTATTGTTATATAAAACTAATAATCAAAATAAAGACAATAAAAAAAAGTTAAAAAAAACTTAGTGCTATTTTTAAAAAATTTATTGTTAATTTTAATAATGTTTAAATAAAATATTTTAATGTGGAAAATTTTAGTTATAAAAAAAGTTTAAAAGCCATGCAAAGCTTTCAATTTCCATATTTATAATTTATTCTAGAATATTTATTCTCAAATGCATAATTTTTTTTGAGTTGTTTTATATTTCATTTTACTTTACAGGAACATAAAATTAAATAGCACATATTTTTTTAGTTGCTGTAATTGTTTGGTGCTTTTTTTAATTCTTTTTATGCTATTAACATAATATTAATAATTTTATAACTTTTTGACAGTTTTTAATTTAACATTTCTTCATGATGAAGAAAAAAAAGATGAAGTTTAGTAAATAGGGGAGGTAGGGGAGCATTGGGCAGTTGGGAGGTTTGGGCACCCCCTCATTTCTCACAATCTGTTCTAGATATTTTTTGTTTTCTACCATAGCATTATAGTTTTATAACTAGCAACACCGCTCATCAAAAGTGTCAGCTGTCATTTCACTTGGTTGTCAAGTTACATGCGCGTAACAGTTTATTGCGAACAATAGTAAAAATTTTGTTTGTGATTTGAAGAAAGATAACAAAGAAATCTGCAAGAAATTGTAAGTATCTGTGTTAACTTCTTCTTTTGTGTTTAATGAAGATTATATTTACCTGACAATTAGGATTCAACATTTCATAAAAATAAACTTATTCAAATCTGTTTGAAAAGTGAGGTTATGGGGAGCATTAGGCATGCAGGTAGGAAGGAGGTTTGGGCATGCCCAATGTTCCCTCTTTTTTAGTGTGTTTTTTTGTCATATGTTTGTTCTTTTTTGCTATGACTATTGGATTGAATGGTTAATCATTTCTTTTCAGGACAATGCTGTTTTTATTTAAAAAGAAAAATAAACAACGTGAAATCCCTAAAGATGTAGTTTTGCGTGCATTGGAAGGTGTTTCTAAAGGAGGAAAAATTAAAACTACTGCGATTAAATTTGATATACCCAGGTCTAACCTTCAAAGATACATAAAACAGGGTGGCGTTGTGAAAGATATTTCTTGTAAATATATATCATCCCAAATATTCACAAAGATAAAGAAGAAAAAATTTCAGAATATTTTGTAACATTGTTTAAACTTAACCATGGAATGTCAAAACTGAAGACATGCAAATTAGTATACGAATACACCAATGTCATTAATAAAAAAATACCAGACAACTGGACAGAGAAGAAACTTGCATCCAAAGATTGGCTAAGGGGATTTTTCAAAAGACAACCTCAGCTTTCGATAAGGACCCCAGAAGCTACTAGTCTCTCACGTGCCACAAGTTTCAATAAGAAAAATGTTAGAGATTTTTTTGAAAATCTTAAAACTGTATATGAACAACATCATTTTGATCCTGAGTCTATTTACAATATTGACGAAACTGGATTATCAACAGTACAACGAACCCAGAAAGTGATTGCTCTCAGAGGCACTAAGCAAGTTAGGCAAGTAACGTCAGCTGAAAGAGGAACACTTGTAACTGTTTGCTGCGGCGTTAATGCATTGGGTAACTCAATACCACCCTTTTTCATATTCCCATGAGTTATTTTCAAAACATATATGTTAAATGATGCACCTGTTGGTTCAGATGGAGCAGCACATCCTTCAAGGTGGGTGACAGTATAAAAGCATGTAAGACCATATCCCAAAGCCGGCCTCAGGAAATTGGATGGCATGGAAGAAAGGAAAAACTAGAATTTTGACAGACACATCCGAGAGAAGACTTATAGAAATTGAAGAAGAAAAAAAATAAAGAAAAAATAAGATCAAAGAGCTCAACAAAAATCGAAAATGCTCTAAAAACGAGAAAAACAGGAAGATTAGTAGTGATAATGAAATAGAAAATGTTTCCGTTTCCGACCAAGCCCTTGTTAAAATTGATTCATCAGAAGAAGATTTTGATGTAGACGATGTGATTGTTCTGGATAGAAATTTCAATAACTTTGTGTTTGCTAAATTTGATACCAAAAAAACTGTTTATCATTATGTTGGAATTGTCGACGAGGTTAAGCACTCCATGGCACTGTCAAATTCATGAGAGCGAGTAAGATAAGAAATACGTTTATGTTTCCTGACATCGAGGACGTAGCCAGTGTCCTCCTGGAGGATATAAAGATAAAATTGCTTACACCATCAACATGAATGAAACATGGCAGCTTAAAATATAAATTTGACAAGCCTCCTTGGGTCATACCAAATTTAAGATAAGTCTTATTAGGTTCAACATTGTGGAGTATTGATTCCAAGTAACATTGTTTAATCTTTTGTAAAGTCTATGATATGAAAAATATCATCGACTTATAAAGTAAAATATGAAAAAATGTTTGTGTTACAATTTTTTATAGCAATGCTATATAACACTTAAGCATAATAGTATAGTAAAACAATATTGTTCATATTAAATACAGCGCCCAATCCGCCCCATAGGGGTGCCCAAACCTCCCAACCATGGGGAGGTTTAGGCACTTTAGACACGTGTTAGAAAATCTTTTGTAACTTTGCAACTAATTATAATACTAAAACTCTTCTTAGCAATAATTAATGCCAAATATGTGTGCTAGATATATTTGAAATAAAATTTTGATTATGATAAAAAATAACAGATTTATTAGCATTTGTGTAAAAAAGTGCCCAATGCTCCCCTACCTACCCTACATTTGTTGTTTTTAAAGTGTTGTCATTGTTTCTTTTGACTCATGCTTTATGCTCTTTCTTTTTTTAATTTTTTTTTTAATTGTATTGTATCATTGCTGTTGCTATTTTTAATATTTTTTTTATTATTATAATTGTTATTATTGCTATTATTATTATTATTATTATTATTATTATTATTATTATTATTATTATTATTATTATTATTATAGACTAGTATTATCATCAGCATTTATGTTATTATTAATATCTTATGCTTTAGCTATAACGGCTTTATACATGTATTTATTTAAATTACTGCTTAGTTTGGAATTCTCTATGTTACTTTTTTTTTTTTAAGTATTAGGTCATAATATATCATTAAAAAGAGCTTCTCAGTGTTTAATTAAATTTAAGGCTTAATATTCGAGGCTTATAAACTATAAATAATATTAAAGATAAATTATTTATTAAACTTTTATTAATCAATTATAAATATCTAAGAATTCTATATTGACTTAGTAGGAGGGGTGTAACTAACTAAAAAATTGTATTTTTTCAATTGTTTTAAACAATTAATATAAAAATTATTATTATCTTATAATAAGTTAACAAAGCAAAATTTAAATGCAGCTCTGTTACCTCTGATCCTTAATGTCCAAAAATCTCTTTTTTGCAATATTAAAAAATGCTTTAGCATTATGAATATTTACATTATTATTTAATACTATTGTGAAAATATTCTACTAGATATCAAGATGTATCAGTGGTATATCCATTGTCTTAAAAGAATAGGTATTTTCTCTTCCCCTCCTTTTTTTTTTTCCTTCCCCATCCAGTTATAAAAAGTTTAAAAAGAAGTTTTTGTTTATTTTGTAAGGAATATGCAACTTTGTTTTAATTTATCTAACTTATGTATACATAGGTTTGATTTAATTTATGGAGCACTTCTTTAAGACAAGCAATAATATATATGTTTGTGAAAAAAGTTGGTTAGTAATTATTTGTATCTTCCACCTGTAAGTTCCTAAAACACTGCCAGGGTCTATTCTAGGAAAAAAATTTGGGCAGCGGTACCCCCTTGGCGCATTTTAATAGAAAATCAGCATTTTTTTCGTGAAAAAAAAAATTTGGCATAAAAACTTTTAAAAAAAATGGTCCTCAAATTTTAATTTGGGCGGTGCCCAAATACGTCGACGGTCGACCTTGTCGAAAATGGCCTAGAATAGTCTCTGGCTGCTAAAAGTGTTTCCTGAAATTTACAGATCATTATTGCAAAAAGTGATATACCTGAACCTCAAACGTAAGCACTTATTAAATGTTATCAAAAAAAGAAATACAGTACAAAAGTAAATATGCTTTCAAAAGAACAACACAAGCTTTAGTTGTGCTTCTATAATATATTTTTCCTATTAATCTTTTATAGTATAAAAAGTTCTTTAATGACTCCACAAATGTTTGCTGTTGAAATCAACAATGCACTGCAAAAGCTTGGATCCATAATGTAAATAAAGGTTTTCTTGTTGTTGAATTTTGATTTATTATTTTTTTATTTATTTTTGTTTGTATTTTCTTAAGGTTTTTTTTTGGATTTTCGGATTATTCAGTTATCTTGCCTATTAACTAAACAACCCAAATAAAGTGCCGTGATATTGTGATATTTAATGATTTCTGGAATCCAAAAAATGAATTACAGGCCTTGTGATGAATATAAACTGCGCGACGCATAAGCACGACGTGATTTTTGACGTCATTAAATTCTTTTTATTTGCTTTTCATATTTATCGACATTAACTCAACTCGTTTCTTAACGCAGCGACCTTGTTCGTCAAGGTTTGTGTTTCAGAGTTATAGAGTTGAGAGAGGGTTATAGCCACAAAATAAGTAGCCTCCTCGTCTGTAGTGGCCTTCTCGGCCTTGAGGAGGTGAAGTAAAATAAAAAAATAAAAAAAACTGCACCAATTTACTTAATTACCACAAAACTACTTTAAATCATTAATGTAGAAATGTTATTATTTAAAAATGTTTTAGAATGTTTTAATTTTTAAAATGTAAAAACATTGGTTTATTTTCGACGATTGACACGTTTTGTCTACTAAACGAATAAAAAACATTACAACTAAACATTTAAAAAAGATAATAAAATATGCTTATATTTAATTTTTTTTACCTCAAATATGTAATTTAAAGTTTTTCAAATAATTATTTTTCCTTTTTAAAAAGTCAGCGAGTAATAAACTGGAAATTTTAATATTGTACGATTAAAAACTGTGCAATAGCTAATCTTTTCACTAGCGATTTTATATAATATTTATTTATTTATTATTATCACCCGTATTACTAAAAAACTTTAACAAACGTTTTGAATAGATTTTTAATGTTTACAAGGAATATTATTTTTGGTAAAATAAAATGTTAGAATAAAAATCTTATAGGTATAAAACATATTTCAGCGAAAAAATTATTCTTAAAAATTATTATTAAAAATTATTCGAAAAACTATTGACGTTCTATTTTTCAGCAGCTGTTTTTGAGCACGCTTCGTTGAGTTTCGGTAACTTTTAACAAAAAAGTGATTGTTATTATTTAAGTAATTTTTTTCGAGTTACTTTTCTACAAATATTTTAATAGCTGTACTTTTTTAGTGAATCAAGTAGAATACATTTTTATATTAATCTTTTCTTTTTTTTTTTATTTGCGCTTACCAATTTTTAAAGTGTTTCTTCGAAATTACTCTTAAATACTTTAAATACGTCTAACAGTTAATAAATATTTTTAAATCTATGGAATAATTTTAAAACCTAACAAACCCCTGTAAAATAATTATTTAAGTTAAAACTAAAAGAAAGTATTTTTGTTCAATTTTATCGACAACTTTGCTATTGCTGAATAATTTTATTAAAATGTTAGCTTAAAAAGATTTAAACTTTTTTTTAATTTGAATTTTTTCTACTTGTAAATAATGAGCATATTTAATTATTTCAAACTTTTATATCGACTGCGTGCGATTTTTAAAATACTTTATTAAATGTTAAAATAATCGTAAATTACTTCATTAAAATTCCACTCAAAAAATATCTTTAAATATACTCAAACAAAAAATTTTTTGCTCGACGCAAATAGCCCTAGCTACACGCAAAATCGCTCTTGGACAACATAAAATTCACATCGCCCGATGCTTTATCGCAAGGCCTGGAATTAACAATGCTTCTGAAGTGTTTGAAATTTTAAAAAAGTTTATAGCTGATATATGCAGAATGTTTCAGTTTTTTTGAAGTATGTCCACATTCATTAACAGTTGCTGCACTCATTCAGTGAAAATTGACCACCTTGAAATGACTGCATCTAAATGTTTAGCTTCGCAGACCTATTTTACCCATGATCATAAAAGTTTCGTTTTTGAACTCTTTTTGATTTGCTTTTAATTTGTACAGTAGCAACAATTTGTTGTGATTTGTGATTTGCTTTGTAGTTACGTTTTTGAACTCCTTTTGCTTTGCTTTTAATTTGTACAGCAGCAACATTTTGTTGTTATTTGTCATTAGACTTCTCTAATGAAAGGTTATGACACAAATAATAAATGACTGGGTTTGATATTTGACCCGGGCCGGGTTAGATAAAATATAGCTGGGGCCAGGGCCGGGTTTGTGACCGGGGCTGCATAAACATTTATACATCCTTAAGTATATTTTTTTAATTCAAAGTTAAGCTCTGTTATAAAATCAGTTTACTAAATCTTGTATCTTAGTATCTTATATCAGGTTTTAGGTTCTAGAGACTCTACAAAACACTTTGATCTCTCCAACTAACCAACCATTAGTTTTCACTCTGTTATTAGTTTCTTTATTTAAAGATTTTGAGATTGTTAAATTATTTCTTACTAACTGCAGTAATAAAATTATTCTTGAAGGCCTACACTCTTTTTTATTTCAAGTAACTTGAAGGGTACCTCAAGGTATCTTGTGGTACCCTTAAAGCTTTGTTACTGTATTGTTTCTTATCTAAAATACCAATCTTTATGAAAATTTAACATCTAAAGTGGCTCTATTTGTTGATGACTCAACTTTATACTCTTGTCTTGACAAAAAATCTTCACTTTTTGATTGCTTAGAACAAGCAGTTGATTTTAATCTGATCTCTCTCTGTAACAGCCTAAGGCTTGCTGTGGCTTATGGGTTTAAATTCTCGACTTAAAATCTGCAATTTTTTTAGACAACAAAACTCATTTATTTACTGCAAAAAAATATTGTAATAATGTTGGTATTCCTATATTGATGAATAGCAATCCTCTTAGTCCCAGACAAAGTCTAAAAGCACATTGTAAATGTAATGCGGTCGTGGTTTAGTGGTAGAGTGCTTGCATCTACAACTACACCACACAAGCAAGAGATACCAAGTTCGATTCCCACCATGTCCCTGGTAGTACCACGCTCAACTTGTTTCTCTGCACAGCAGCCTTGGTTGTCAAGGTTCGTGTTTCAGAGTTATATAGTTGAGAGAGGGTTATAACCACAATTAAGTAGTCTCCTCGTCTGTAGTGGCGTTTTCAGCCTGAATTAACTTGAAAAAATAACAATAAATTAGACCTGCTTTATCTACCAAGCATGAGCCACTCTTCTTTTTTTCTACTTATACAATCATGGTCAATGCTCAAACAAGCTATCATCTCTATTACGATAAACCAAAACTCATTCTTACTTGTTTCTTATTCAACAAGTTGCATCCTTTTACTTTGTCTGTCCCTTCATGCTATAAAAACTTTTATTAATCCAGTTTTTTTTCCTTCCACATCAAAAAAACCTTATAACTATTAGCCATCTTCATGTTGTTTTTTTTAATATACAACCTCCAACTTTTTAAGTCTTCAGTTAACCATTTCCTAGTATTTTTACTTATTCCCTATTTTAAAGTAACTCCTAACTTAATAGTGGTTGCTTGCAATCTTGTTGGAAGTAAATTAGAGTTAGCAACCCTCAGAATTAGGGTTGGCATTCGGCAATGTCTACCTAACTGCCGACCTAAAAGTGATTGAGGTCGGCAAATTTTACCGACCTCGTTTCTATGTTTTATGTATTTAATAAATAAGTAAAATGTATATTTAGTATTTAATAAATAGTAAATGTAAGTATAAAATTATAACATTTAAAGTATTATTATTTTTTCCTAGCTTTTTTGTTTAAAAAATATTTAATTTTTAGCCTGGTTCCCCAGTCACTTACTACCCACAAATAGCAAGAGTTTGTTCTTGAATGTGATGATATTCTACACCAAAGCTTGACCAAATTTTAAAATGCTTTTTAGAATTTAGGATTTAATCAGGCATTCTGCCTATTTCTGGTTGATCATATACAGATGATCTCATTGTAATCGATCAAATGCAAGTGAAAAAATATTTCAACTACCTGTTTAAAAATGTTTATACCAGTTAAAACTAATTCAAAAACCTTTACTCAATTTTTTTTTTAAATACTTTCATATTAAGATGCTGTGAAAAATTATTTTCCATATAATCTAAAAGTACTAACTAATTATTGGGAGATAAAAAAATTTATTTTAAATTTAACAACCATCTTAAAGCAAAAAAGTTATAAAACTTTTTTTAAATTTTAATTTTATTTAAAATTATTTAATTTAACAAAGTTGATAAAATTTTAAAAAACAGCACCCAGTTTTTCTTTTTTAAAAAAAAAAATTGTTCTTAACAAAATTGAAACTTATTTTTCAAAAATGATTTTCTAACAGAGCATTGACATGGATTCATTAACAATAAATCATGCACAATAAATCTATTGAAAATAATTGTTTTTATTTATTAACTTTAAACATTGAAAATCACACTCCAGTTGTTGTTGTTTTACTAGATTTTGCAAAGGTGTTTGACACAGTTCCTCATAACTGATTGTTACTATTATTGATGAATTAGTACTGAAATGGATTGCATCTTTTCCCACAAGTAGGAGAAAGAGAGTAGTTTGGTTCTGGTGACTTTAATGCTCATCACACTGAATGGCTTGGCACTTATGCCACTGACCCTGCTGGAACTAAAGCCTATAATTTCTGCATTTCTCAATCTCTTACTCAGATAGTTAACTTGTGACTTATTTTCCTGATAACCCTAATCATTTACCTTCACTCCTTGATTTGTGTCTGGTCTCTGATCATAGCTTGTGTTCAGTTTCTCCTTTTTCTCCTTTAGGTTCTAACCATGCAAGTAGTAAATGTAGAGAATGGAATGAAAAGGTCAGTTGTAAATGATAATCCAAGTAGACATAAAAAAGAAGACTCAGTGAGAGGCTTGACATTCATTAACCCTTTATGGGCCATTGTTGCCATATGACAAAAAATAAAAGCCACTAACTTCAAAGCCTGGTCTTTAATTTGTTCATTTATAAAGTGCTATTGTATTTTATGATGATTCAGCAATGAGAAAAAAAATTATAATGGTTGTCATACACTTTTAAGAAATATTTATGTCCTAATATTTGTACTTAGTTTTTCTCTGATGTTGCCATTTTATAAATGTATAGTGTTGACTCCTTATAAAATAAAATTTAAAAATTAATTAGGAATATTGTTAGCATGTGTTTCTAGTATCTAAAAAGTAAAATTGTTATTTATTTTCTTATTTATTTTTTTCTGAAAACTTTAAAAAAAATATTTGTTCCCATATGGCAACAAGAGATAAAGTCCGTAAAATCTAGTATAATTTTTATAATAGGGTTTTCTATTACATTGCTATATTTTTTATGTATAAAGGCCTGTAAGAACAAAAATTATATTAGGGGGAGGGGCAGTACTACTCCGAAATAGTTTTAATGACCTTTTTTTTTTTTTTTTAGTAACTTTTTCAGTCAATTTCTTCAAAATTATTTATTTGAAAAATTATTAGGTGGGCATATATGGTTATATAAATTATATATATAATATATTTCATTATATATATACGGTTTATATATATTATATATGTCAGGAGCTATACTAGACCGTTTTCAACAGCATCAACCGTATTTGGGCACCGCACAAATTAAAATTTGAGGTCTTTTTTTTTTACTTTTTTTTTTTACGTTTTTATGCCAAATATTGTTTTTTCGCAAAAAAAATGCCGTGAAATTTTCCACTTAAGTCTGCTGAAACAAGGGCGTACCGCCGCCCAAATTTTTTTCCTAGAATAGGCCCTGTATGTATATATATATCTATACATATATAATATATTATATGTGTTTATATATATATATATATATATATATATATATATATTATATATATATATATATATATATATATATATATATATATATATATATATATATATATATATATATATATATATATATATATATATATATATATACATACATACATACATACATATATATTATATATATATTAGAGTGAGGGTTTTTTTTCAACTTTTTTTTCAAAAAATTAGGCACAACCTCTAAATGTGTGCAAAATAATAAAATAACTCTAGGTTTAAAATTTTTTTAAATAAAAAATATTTTAAGGGGTCCCCCAAGACCCTTGAATATTTAACGGATCCCTAATGTTAAAAAAAAAAAGTTTTTTTAAAAATAGATCAACCTGGTATTTAAATGCAGCGAAATTATATAAAAATTTCAAAAATAATTATTATTTTAAACAAAAATAATTTTTTTAACTTATCAAAATTATCATGAAAAAACTTTAAAAAATACACTTTTTTCATTTTTTGTTAAAAAAAGTTATTTTTTATGCAATAAAACCTAAAATAATGATTATTTTTTTTAAAAAATGATTATTTTTGAAATTTTTATATAATTTCGCTTCATTTGACTACCAGGTTGAGCTACTTTTAAAAAACTTTTTTTTTAAAAAATATTAGGAACCTGTTAAAAATTCAAAGGTCTTGGGGAACCCCTCAAAATATTTTTTATTCGAAAAAATTGTTTGAAGTCAGCAAAAAATTGCAGACCTCGTTTCTATGTTTTATGGTCAGACCTTTGTATCAAATAATTTTTGCTGACCTAATGCTGACCTCAAAAAGATTAAGCTTTTCAAAATATTCACTATACTCACTATACTCCCTATACTATAATTCACTATACTCAGAAATTGTCATTATTCACTGTTGAAAGTTATTTCCAGTGTAGCTGAAGCTCTTATATCTGCTGGAAAAGAACTACCTTCAATGTCAGTTACTAGACTATCAAAGAGATTGATTAATATTGATGAAAGTACTAGTAAATGTGACTGTAAACTTTTAGTACCAAACTCTTGTGTGGATGTTTTCTATGAATTGCATAGATCATTGACCAAAGTATAAAGATTCAAAAAACAGGTGTAGATTCTGCAAGACTGGATTTAGCAGGTATATTGTACAAAATGCAAAATAGCTCTTTGCCTGACAGCAAAAATTGTTTCCATGAGTTTCATAAAAAATAACTTATTCATGTATTTAGGGTTATAAAATTACATAATGTAATACTTATTAGGAATGAAATACTGTATGTAGCCAGCAATATTTTTGTGTGTATCTAATATAAATATGCAATATGTTTTAATTTGGTTACAATAAATTCAATAATTTTTACTTAATTTTCTTATAAATTATATCAGTACTGACTAAGCATAGTCAAACCTATTGTGCTATAAGTCTAATCTTGAACATGTTTTTTAGTTATGTTAATGACATAATGAATATTTTTCATCATTATGGTATTCTTTATACAATTACAGAAAAGTTATAAATTTTTTTTTAAAATATATTTAATTAAGAAGGCCAATGTTGCCAAATGGCAACTATAGTTTTTAGGAAATTGCTAACGTCAGCAAAAAAAATATTTATACTTTCTATTAATTTGACCCTTGTGAAATTGTTGTGAAATTATTATTAAATATTTTTTTTAAGTAAATTTCAGCATTTGGCCCATAAAGGGTTAATATAGGAATGATGACAGTACTTTTGTACATCCTTAAATCTCTTATTTGTCCCTGTATGGAATACTGTTGTCATATTTGGGTTGGTTCTTCTAATAATGCTCTTTCTCTTCTAGACAAGGTCCAAAAATGTATTGTAAATGTAGTTGGACCCACTCTATCTGCTAAGCTTGAGCCTCTTTCCCATTGTTGTTAAGTTAAATCTCTTTCTCTTTTCTACAAATACTAACATGGTCACTGCTCAAAGAAGCTATCGTCTCTAAAATACTCATGTATGAACATACAAGATAAATACTGCTGGAAAGGCTTGACTTAAATAAAGCATTTAAATAGACTCAAGACTGGTTTCTGAAACTCAGCATAAACAAGTGCGTTGTGACGCATTATGGCTCCGCAAATAAAAATTATCCACTTTTCATTAATGTTATACAACTTAATGATTCTAAGTCTGAACAAGATCTTGGAGTTATAGTTTTTAACAAGTCTTAATTGGAAAGAATGGATAGGGACTATGGCAATTGGGAAAGCAAATCAAATGCTGGGATGAATAAAGAAATTGTTTGCAAGTTTTAATTGTCGACTTGAGATCTCTTTATTTAACATTCATTTGTCCACTTCTTGAATTTGCAGTTCTGGTTTGGTCTCTTTATATGAAAGGAGACTGTAATGTGATTGAAAAAATACAACACAGCAACTAAAATTGTTTCATCAATTAGCAGTTTCAAATATGAAGATTGACTTATTGCCTCAGGCAATAATTCAATATTCATTATCGAAATACATTATCAAAAGAACATTTGACCAAATTTCAGTATTTCATTTAGATGTTCATCACAAAATTTGACAATTTTTTTTTCCAAACATAAGTTCAAAAACACCTCATACAAAAAGTGTTGCTTTTTAAATAAAGATATAAATAAGAGTTTATGCTTAATATAAAAATGAGACAATGATATATGGAGTCATGTTGTCAAGTTAATACAAAAATGAGACATTGATATATGTTGTCAAGTTATATTGCTAATAGAAATGCTATGTGGAAGTATGCTAAAAAGCCATATGCTAAAATTGCTGTTTCAAAAAGTGAATATTTTTTGCAAATATTATTGGGCTCTGATTGTTTTTTGCAATTTTTCATGATTTAATCATGTTTTGAGATTCTTTGTGAGGTATATGCTACTGTTTATTTTTGATGAAATATGTGCACATTAAAGAAAGTTTCAAGTTAAAGACAGTTTAATTGATAGCATTTTTTAATAAGTAGTTGTGGAAGTAAATATTGTTATTATTGATCATAATTATTTTTTCAGATTTGAAAGTAAATGATGTTGATTTACTTGAAGTAATTGTATTGAAGATGCCGCTGATGAGACTTAGTTGGCAATCAATAAATACTAAGACGACAGGTTTGCTTATGGATTGTGATAAGCGTAAAAACAAACGTTTCATAACTTTAAATCAGTGTGCAGTCCAAGGTCAGCTTGAATATTTTTGCCAGTGTGTCCATTCCAGTTGTAGTATTACAAGTGATAAACAGTAAAATAAAATTTTTTTAAAGTTCAAACAAGTGTATTTTATAAGATTTTTATGTCTAGCTTTTAGATTTCTTTTTTTTTTTTTTTTTTGAATTTTTGAATTCAAATCAGTTTCAAAACTTTCAAATGAAATATTGAGTTTTTATGCATTCGTTTTATGTCTTATCAAATCAAAAATATATCTGTTGAATACATTTGTACAAATTTAAATTGGATTTATAGAAGTATAGACTTGTTTCCAGTTTTCCACTATTATTTATGAGAGTAAATATGATGTTTTGTCTTCTTTCATATTTTAAGATATAAAATCATAGCTTTTAAAATAAATCTCTTCATTAGCTATAACATTTCAACTTGACTAATGAGACAAACATACATCAACAAATGTTGTGGTTCTTCAAATAATGTACATTGTTTTATTAACAATCAAAACAATATTTTAAACCTTATTTTAACTTTTGTAGTAAAGTACATGCTCCAAATTTTTATATCTGATATAAACAAGACATAACAAGTCAATGTTCAGAGATAAAGTTAAAGTTAACTCCATTGAGTTTGTAATTGAATTAAAACATTATTTTGATTAGAAAAGATAAGTAGAATATATAGATATATATATATGTGTGTATATATATACATATATATATATACATATATATATATATATATATATATATATATATATATATATATATATATATATATATATATATATATATATATATATATATATATATATATATATATATATATATATATATATATTTATGAATATATATAATATATGCTATATACATATATTCATGCTTTATGCATGTATGTATATATATGTATACAGCATATGAAATGATTACAAATCAAGTGACAGAATTTTGCGCTACTGTTTTTGTCTTAGGCAAGCAAGTTTCTCCTTAATCTACTGATGGCTGTTAAAAATGATGTAATTAGTGATGTTTTATGCATAACTAAGTTTGCATTTATATATAGCTACGTTTTTATGTATATTCTAGATAAACCAATATTTTATGGCGGAAAGTGAAAATAATTTTTTGAACAGCAATTTACCAGTTCGTGGGTCAGTTGATAACACATATTTTAATTATAGTAACATAAACTCTAATGGAAGTCAAGATCAGGATGTAAATTCATGTGAAAGAGTTAGAAATCAGCAGAGGAGTTATAGTAGTAGTTTTATATCACCAACCGACTTTAATGTAATTGAAAGAATACATTCTGTTGATAATGACAGATGTCAATCTTCCCAAACTTTAAATTATGCTGTAACCTCTAGTAACTTTCATGCTTCGCCCAGTTATAATGCAATCTACAATAATGGTTTTCGAACACCCAGCACTTATCATGGTTATTCAACTCCCTCTAACGCTTTTTTAACCTCAAGTAATATTTATCAAGCACCCAATGAAGTTCCTGTTATGTCTAGTAACGTTTATGGAACATCCAGCAATACTTATCGAACTAGTAGTAACATTTGTGGAACACCCAATACCGTTCATGTTACACCTAATAATATATATAGAACACCCAATAATTTATATGGAATACGAACTACTAATCATGTGACATCATGTAACAATGCATCATCTCTTATTGCAACATTCAGTAATAGGCAACAATTTGATAATACAAACCGTCAACATAATATCTTACAACATCAGTCTAGTGTACCAAATTTTCAAGTAACTTCACCGACCAATTTCAATAATACTCTTCACTCGATTTCAGTAGATGAATATTTTGGTTTTCCAAGAAGTAGGATTGATAGGCCGTTATCTAATTCCTTTAGACCCGATAATTCCGCTCAGTTACCTTTACATCATTCCACAAGTTGGAGTTTAGAACTAAATCCAAACTCGTGTAGTATCTCTGATTACTTATACAAGCAAAATGAAAGTATGTTCAGGTTGTATGATGCCACAAGTCTTGCTGTTAAAGATGAAGAACGATTGAAAGAGGAAATACGTATTCTTGAGTCTCAAGTAAATTCGCTTCCACGAGTACAAAATAATTCAAATAAATTAGATTATTTAGATCTTCAAGAAGAAAACAATAGGCTTCAAGGTGAGTTGTTACGAATGTATGAAGACCTTGATAAACTTGGAGTTCCTATTCCAAAATGTAACCCATCAGTTCCAGTAGAAATCGATGAAAACTGGGAATGCCCTCAATGTACTTTTAAAAATTTAGCACTTCCCAAATGTGAGATGTGTGAATGTTTGCGTCCTGGCCGTTTATTGTTGAATTAAATTTTTATCTATTTTTATATTATTTTAATATTGTAAAGCTTTATCTAATTGTATAAAATTATGTTTTTTTTTTTTTTGTGCGTATATTTTTTAAATAATAAGTTTTTAATTTCTAAGAAATTCCCATCCTTTCCCCCTTTTCCTCTCTCCTAACACATTAAAAAAAAATAGGTACTGTCGTAATATAAACTTTTCATTTAACTTGAATATTCGAAAATTTTGGTTAATAATTTTGACTTTTTTAAAAAATTGTAAATAATGACTTGATAAAATTTGTTATTTTTCCCCTTAGTTTTTTTTTTTATATTATTATTACTATTATCAAAAACTCTGAATTTTCTAATTAAAAAAAAAAAAAAAATGTTATTTTTTAGATTAGATATTCTATTATAGAGAAAATGTTTAATCAGTAAAATTAGGCTGTATATTAACAAGATTTTGTATTAATAAAATTTACTAAAATTAAATGTTTGTGTCGTGCTACTGTTGTGAGGAAATGGATGATTTGAATAATCGACTTTCAAATTATATTTTCTAACAATAGGAAAGTCATAACGCTACATACAATTTCTTGCTTAATTCAGTTTTTATCAACGTTGTTGTGCATCCATGGTCGCATTTAAAATAAATATCGTAATAGGATAGTAAAAACATCATTTGAAATTTAAAAATTAGTTTTATCAAAATAAAATTGTATAATTTATCATTGAGAACATAGACTTAACGCTCTTTTGGTACCAGTAATTGATAATTTAGGCACTAGTAGGATAAAATTTTATAAAGTGTTATAACAATATTTTGCAATATTTGCAATTGATTAATTTTAACTATTGAAGACTTAGTCTTCTTGATCTAACAGATGTAAATGTTGTGTTAATGTAACAAATGTAATATGTTGTGTTAAAAAAAAAACTAGGTTCATTGGTTTGTTATTACTTAATGAGGGTTGATTAATTATTTTATTAATTACTTATATTGCTTTAATACAATATACCCGAGGTTCTTAAAGGCTCACCTCAAACTTTTTAATCATCTATTATGCTTTTCTTAAGGTATTGATCAGAAAAGACATTTTTTTTAATTCATAAATGTTTAGTATACATAACTTTTATTTTATAAATAATGTTGCGTTCTGTTGGTGTACAATGACGTCCTTGGCCCGCTTTGAAAGGTTTAGAAAAAGTTTTTACCATTGAGCATACACAAATAAATAAAGTATATATTATAATTGAAGTTATACTTACTTTTCCTGTAATAATTACAAAAATTTCTTTAAATTTTATAAACTAACTTTAAAAACCATTGCTATTTTAATGCATTCTCTCAATTACAATAGTTTTATTAAAAATAATGGTATTCTTAGATGTATTGAATTCTCGTATGCTCAATTTACTTATCTCATTATTGTAAATACACACATAAAAAATTAGTCTTACTGAATTATACAGAAGAAAAGTAATAATGAAAGAACGAATAATTTTATATATATATATATATATATATATATATATATATATATATATATATATATATATATATATATATATATATATATATAAATGTAGATCTACATTTCTAGAGTGTCGTAGATCTACACATCTACGTTTTTCGGTTGGACAACATAATAGGATGTAACTTTGTGTCGGGCTCTATGTAGCAAGGGAAAAAACTCAATATATGAAATTTTTGACATGTCTGCTTTTTCCCCTGTGCCCTTCATATATATATATTTAAACAATTTTAAAAAAAATCTATTCTATAGAATAGATTTTTTTAAAAGTTGTTTAAATATATATATATGAAGAGCACAGGGGAAAAAGCAGACATGTCAAAAATTTCATATATTGAGTTTTTTCGCTTGCTACATAGAGCCCGACACAAAGTTACATCCTATTATGTTGTCCAACCGAAAAACCAGCAAAGTCTCGAGCATTTAAAATTATAGCCATCTGGGGAAAAACCAGACATGTCCAAATTGTACAGGGGAAGAAGTAGACATGTCCCCGCTGAGTCATGTGGTGTCGATTCACATTACTAGGTCAGCCAATCAGCGTTTAGCTTTGGTTTAACAACAAAGTGCGTGCAAAATGGCGGATTGCTTTGACAGACCAGTTGTGACTGTAACGCCTCGAAAGCGAAAAATTAATGGAAGGAAAAAAGATGCGGCAAAGATTAAACGCATAAAAAATCACACAACAGGTGAGGATTGCAAATGCAGCCGTCTAAAATGTTTTGAACAGATAAGTGAAGCTGCAAGACAATCACTTATTGAGGGCTTCGACGCATACTCAAGCAAAGACAGCCAAGATTCTTATCTGTCTACAATGGTAGTAGTTCTCCCTGTAAAACAACGTAGGTGTGGGGAAGGTGCAGACGAAAATTCTTATAAACCTAAAGAGATGAGTGTTAAGTATGTCGTAAAGGTATCAACAGGAACATCAGTGGAACCAGTGGCAGTGTGTGTGAAAGCCTTTTGCTCGCTCTTCGGCATCACAAAAAACCGTGTAGAAACAGTCCGCAAAGCAATTTCATTAACAGGTGAGTAGGAATTGGAATTAGTGCTTTTAATTTGTTGTTGATTTGAATAATACAATTTATAATTTTAGTAAAGATTATTATTGTTATTATTATTATTGTTATTGTTATTATTATTGTTATTATCATTGTTGTTTTTATTACTAGATTTATTATTATTGTTGTTATTTTTTTATTTTTATTTTATGTGATCTGTGTGAATTTGTGTGAATACACGATTTTTTTTGTATAAGCAATTCGTTTATAAGCAACTGAACTCGATGTGAAAAAATACTAAACAACTTCAGTTCTGAAAAAATGTTAACATAAGCAACTCATATATTGCAATTTTTTTCTCTGCAATGTAATGACTTCTTTTGTATAAACGATTTCAAAAAAAAGTAATCACAGTAGTGTTGCTGTGTATGTTGTTGACAACGCTGTTAAGATCATGAGTAAGAGAAAGCAGACAAATTTGTTCAACTTTTATTTCATATTGTGTGGGTTTTTTCCTCGCAGGTCATGCACCACAAGATGGAAGAGTAAAGCATAACAATAGGCCACACAAATTGACAGATAAAACAGTAACACTGGTGTGTGGCCGCATATCATCTTTCCGGGGCAGACACAGTCACTATGCAATGGGGGAGACAAGAAAGTTGTACCTTCCAGATACCTTGAATGTCGCCAAAATGCATCAGATGTTTGTGTCAGTTCACCCTGAAACCAAGGTTTGTTTATGTTTTTATGTCAGTGACAGTGAAATAGAGGATATTTTGAAGCTACTATATGTGCATGCACGAATACTAATTTTTAATTGCAGCTAAATTTACATATCAAACCCATCACAGCATCTGTTGGGTTTGGCTTCTTTTATTTTAATTTAATTTATTTATATTATCAGGGCATATTATTACAAAATTTTGCTACGAGCTCGAAAATGTAAGCTTTTCTAAAAACTCTCATACCTTGTGTATATATAAAGCACACTACACCAAATGACTTGAATTAATTTAATTCCTTTATTTTTAACATTATTTAAAGATTACTTACAAATAAATTAGATATAATAAATTTTGATTAGATATTTTAAAGACTATTAATGACACAATGAATGTAATAATTTATAAAAATAAATCAAAGTTGACAATCTAGAATCTTTTAACACTGATCAGATAACTTAAATTCTTCTTCTATTGCCTCGTTTTAGAAATTCAACACCTTTTTTTTCAAAGCTATATATGATAATGTGATTTTTTTTTTTTTTTTTTTTATTTACTTTTTCTTTTTTTTTCGCAGATTAGCTATGAATCCTACAAAACACTGTTTAACACGAAATTCAACATTGGATTTGGTTACCCACGGTAGGATACTTGTTCCACATGTGACGATTTCATCGTGAAGTTGCAGCATGTGGATGGTGACATCGCTGATGCCGAAAGCAATGGTAGAGATGTTGCTGGTCTGAACAGCAAAAAAACTGAACTACTCACGAACCACGAGCTGCACAAACGCAAGGCCAGCACATTCTACGCAAGGAAAGCTGCAGTTAAGGAAAGGGCAAGAAAATGTGACAAGTTTGAAGCCATCTGCTTTGACTTTGCCAAAAACCTACCAGTGACAAACAAGTCCACCAATGACGTTTACTATCGCAGACAGCTCAGCCTGTATACGTTTGTAATCCATGTATTATCAACTGATGAAGTGTATATGTATACATATGATGAAACAGTAGCAAAAAAGGGTGCTGACGACGTTTGTTCATTTCTTGCTGACTTCATCCGCAGCCACATTTCTGAAGCCGTGGACGAAATCAGTTTCTTCTGCGATGGGTGTAGTGGTCAAAATAAAAACTACACTATAATTAGGTTCTTATACAATCAGGTACATGAACGCAAGAGATTCAAGTTGGTGAAAATCACCTTTCCGATAAGAGGCCACTCCTACATGGAGTGCGATAGAGATTTTAGCAACGTCAACATGACAAAGAATGTAGACTTGCCAGAGGACTGGCAAGTCTACATTCTTTGTCATAATTAAAAAGCAAACAAGTATAAGATTTTTCGGAATCCTTGTCGATGAAAATTTATCCTGGCTTCCCCATATAAATTAAATACATTCAAAAGTTACCAAAACTATTAGCGTAATGTATAGGGTTAGACCATACGTCAATATGTTAAGTCTCAAATTAATATACTTTAGAATGATACACTGTTTTATTAATTATGCAAATATATCATGGGCAAGTACACAAACTTCAAAATTTTAAAAAATTTATAGGCTCCAAAAACACGCTTGCCGTATTATATACTGTAAACATAAACGTGAACATGCAAAACCTCTTATGAGAGATATGAAAATGATAGATATATTTGAAATAAATATTTATCAGCATCTAATTTTTATGTATAGATACTATAACAACCTCTTGCCAGCAAACTTCAAAGATAAGTTTGAAATAAATTCAAATGAAAAGTATGGTCTAAGATCAAATAGAAATAAAAACTTTAAACCTCGGAAATGTAATAAACTCTCAGAATTTTGTATATCTTATCGAGGACCTAAATTATGGAATGACTGT